TTCGTTCGGTCGTTGAACTTGTTCCGTTTTCGGTAACTAGTGACTTGTTGGCGACCCAAGTAAGAGGACTCAACGGGCAGCGTTTATGGCTTTGTTTGAATCAGTCACGCGTTGTGGTTCCTGACCTAGTCAACAGCACCTAGGCTTCGCGCGTGGAGAGAATCTGCTCAATCTTGGAAGGCATTGCTGAGGCTGGAACCACAACTGGCGCCCAGGCATCTCAGGTACAGGGCCTGTTGAATTTTGCATGTGGCTTCTATTCGACCAAAGCTTGCAAGCAGTTTTTTCTTGCTTTACTCCGTTGGCCGACATAGAGACTCTAAAGCCAATGCAGAACGTTTACGGCTTGTTTGTAGGTATGCCATAAACCTCTTAAAGCGCCTTGAGCCCCGTAAGCATAAACTCACGGACCCCATCACCTGTTCTTGTTTTCACTGATGGCGCCTGGGAAAATTGTATTGCGACTGCAGGAGCAGTTTCTTCGATTGCGCCGCGCAACCGTCCTTTTGTGGTAGCGTTGAAGTTCCGCAGGCTTTGGTGGATCGATGGTCCTCGGACATGGACCAGATAAGCTGCCAAATTGAAATGTGGGCTTTGCTATCTTTGAAATGGCACTTTAAACAAGAATGGGTAAATAGGAGGGTCATAGCATGGATTGACAACGAAGCCGCTCGTGCCGCCTTTGTCAAATGTACGTCTCCATCCCTGACCTTGGCCTCGATGTGTAGAGTGCATTGTGACATGGAGGGTAGGTGGCCGACCATGACATGGGTTGAACGGGTGTGCTCCTACAGCAATCCTAGACCTCCTTCAGTTGCCCCTGTCTCCTGAAATAGCGGCGGACTCTCAACTGTGCGCGGTGGTCTTCAAGTCGCTTTTGCAGAGCCTCTCTTCTTGCCTGGGGAACAACTGAGGATCCGCTGGCGTGACGTGCGCGCAAAGCATCACCAAGACACCCGGTATGTGGATAACATGAAACCACACCGTGTTACACCTCACGGCTGAATCGCACTGTGTGATTTGATCCCCTGACCAAAATATGAGCGGACAAAAAGGAAATTAATAAAGCGCGTCTGATTTCAAGTTTTATAAATGAATGAATTATGTCCTTGGTTCAAAAACATTCCCTTTGATAGCCATAGACCTGTTTAATAGACAAGATGCAAGCTGTCACGAAGTGAGAGCTAAATCTTTTTAGATTAAAGAGCAGCTCCTTTGTTTATTCACGCGTAAACTAGGAGCGGTCTCTGGCGGGGAAAAAAGGAAAAATTGAAGAGCGCACACGACTCAATCTCTCTTTTCTCTTCGGTCGTGAGTCATAAGTATACTCGTCGCATTTATGCTCAAGTGGCGGGTGGGCGGGTTAAAAAACCGTTGAGCTGATTTGTTTCGGCCCACCCAAACTTCGTTTCTTCCACCCTGGGGAAACAACTGAGGATCCGCTTGCGTGACATGCGCACAAAGCATCGCCAAGACACCGGGTATGTGGATAACATGAAACCACACCGTGTTACTGTGTGGTTTGACTCCTGACCATAAAGAGCGGACAAAAAGGAAATTAATAAAGCCCGTCTGAATGCAAGTTTTTTGTATATGAATGAATTATACCCTTGATTCAAAAACATTCCCTTTGATAGCCATAGACCTCTTTAATAGACAAGATGTTGCAGTCATGCAATTGTGCTGTGCCAATTGCATTGCCTTTTGGAGAGGGTTTTGGATGGAAGCGTGACGTGTCAGATTGATGTGAAATAGCGAGGAAACGTGTGGATACGGATACGTAAGATGTTGAAGTGTGGAGGACAGTGGAGGATGATTTCACTGCGCAGGCGCAGCGTTTTGTGAGATCGGCAGTTTTCTGCGCAGTCACATTGAGATTGGCTTTTGGAGAGTAGTGTTTTTGGGGTGTTGGATGTGGCTGTGACATTGGGATTTGCGTTTCAGGGTGTTGCGTCGAAGCTGTGTTTTCGTGACAAGTCTTAGCCGAAATGTTGATTTTGGTGGATGGGAGCGTGCTCAGAACGGGTCGAAATCGTTCCAAACGGGGGGTGTGGTGCAAATTTTGTTGAAGCTCTCATGATATGATATTGTCACTTTTCGTGGCAGACGCAGTACTTTGCGCGGGTTTTGAGGTGTGAAGTGCGATTTTCGTGGCAGGCGCAGTACTTTGTGCGTGTCAGACGTGTGGACGCGTAAGTTTTCGTGGCAGGCGCAGGTTGCAAGTTGTAGTGGAGGTGCGTGCCGCTGCGACATTGGGATTGGCGTGTGAGCGGCCGTTGTTTGGAAGGGCTGGAATCGCGAAACTGCATTGGCTGGGCTGCTTGATGTGTGTGCTCCGACAGGGCTTCCCGCTTGACATTTGGAGGAAGTCTCGTACTTACAACGTGGTTGTTTTGGAGACTTTGACATGTGACTTTTGGAGGAAGTCTCGTACGAAACGCTCCTTTTGGAGACTT